ATATATGAGTTTGTATGTAATGTATGAAAATAATTTACAAGTTTCACTTTTTAAATGGAATTACTGAAATAAATCTACTTTTTCATGATATTCTAATTTTATGACCAGCACCTGTATATTCAAGTTTAATGATGTGTGAGAAATCCACAATTTTCAGTTTATTCAGTAAGTATTTATTACAGCTGGCACAATATATTTTTATAATATGATGATGTACTTATTTTTTTAATTATGCATATTACGAATAAAAACAGGCCATGTTATGGAAGGACCTTCTCGGTAAAAGAGAAAAAAAAATCAGATTTTAAAGAAAATGGCTGCTTATCAATTAATTGTAAGATCAATCAATTTTAGATTAATTTGTTAATCGATAACTTGCATTCCTAATCAATATCCAGGTCAATCTGGATAATTCAAACTCCTGCTATGCTGCCATCAGTAGTCTCAGGGCAGATGAGCTTCCAGGGATTTCTGCCTGACTGTCAAGCAGTCATCCACCAATCAGTCCATCTCCACTGAATAATGGCCATTGCTTTTCTAGGTGAATTTTATAGCCACCCAGGTGACAGATGGGACCTGTGCCTGGAGACAGCTGCCAGGTGTAAGACACATTAACAACAATAGATTGGCAGGGGTAGCCTAATTCTAACAGACAGAAGCAGCCACTCTACAACAGAAGAAAGCTTCCAAGCCGAGGGACGGATGCTAATGTTAGTCCCAATTACAGCTGAATCAAGTGCAAAAGACAGCATGTGTTTCTTTCTTCCCCCTCTTGTACGAGGAACACCAGAGAACTGAGAGCGAAGCATTTCAAAGCATCGTGGCTGAGCTCATTTCGTTATGCCAAATAGACCGTGTGCTTGCCTGGGCATGGGAAGTGTGTATGAACGTTCATGTGAGTTTGCACATGCGTGGCAGAGAGCTGTGGGGAACGGAAGGTGGGAGCTAAAGCCGATCTCCAAGCAACAGACACTTGCTTTCTCCCGATGCAGCATGTCAAATACTATGAAGAACGGCTGAGTATTTAACCTGTTTCTACGTGGATAATACAAGCGCAACGTGTGGTGAGGGGTTCTCAGAGACAGATGGAGGGGATTACCAGATCTAAATGCAAGACAATTAGCAAAGGAGGGGCTTACTTAAATCACCCATCCTTTATATTAAAGAGGAAACGACACCTCTCTTAGGACAATCAAAAAGGGTTTAGATAAAAAACACCATGTTTGAAGTGAATATACAGTTCCCGGTGTACACCATCTTATACTTGTGTGGTGCTGAAATAGACCATTTGTCCTGCAAAATCTGGAATGCTCCCAGATCTAACAAGGCAATGAATGAAGCGCTTTTGGCATTGCCGGTGTTGAATAATTTCAGTTATTGCACCATATGGACAGAAGTGTGTCCTCCCAGATTTACCAAGTCTCTTGGGTTTAGCCAATCCTGCAAAGCAAGTCTTAATGGCTCAGTGAGCCCCTACCAGTCTGCTCCCAGGGTACAGTAAGGCCAGGATTATTAACTGTATGTGCAAAGAGAATGACGTATTAGATCTGGGAGGGAGGAGATTGTCTGTGGTTGGCTTGGATAGTTAAACTGACGGGGGTATGGGTTGTGTTGAGACAAACGTCCTGTGGTCCTGTAATCAAGTCCAAAAGGAAATGAAAGAGCTCTAAAGAAAAAGAAGTCCATTGCTTAAAGTGTTTTGGTTACTTTCTTTTGTGAATCTGACTGATGACAGAAAGTTTATCTTCGCATCAGTGTCAGATAAGATTTCTTCTGTGCCTTTTTAAAAACACCTCTATCATGGCAAATAAGACGTGACAGAAACTGTGTAGCCTATTATAAAGCCTGACCTCTTTCTAAGAGTATAAATATTGTCCTTTTTGAGTTAGACAAAAAGGAAGATAAGCAGATACTTAGAGAGAAAAAAAACTAGAGCGTGCTCAGCGGAATTCCTAAACCTGGAGTGACTCAGAGGGGGAAAGGAAAGAAAGGGGCTTACTGGCGAGGGCTTTCTCGTAGTTCTTCCCCATGGCAACAAAGTTCCGTAAGCAGGGGTTGAACTGCTCCATGATGGTCTGAAAAAGGAAACAACACTGTTAGTGGACAATGGATTTACTTATTGCAACAGGGTCAAGAATGTGGAGAATTTGCACCTTGTTGCATTTATTTTCCCTTTCTGGCACACAAACCTCTTTAAAGAGAATAAAATCCATTTTATAGAGTAAACTGTGAACCCACAAACAGGAATTCACAGGACAGAAAATTTATACAAACAATGCATCAGTAGCCATGTTTCCAGCCAATGTTATGTGAACTTTGAGTGAACTTTTTAAAATGTTGGGGGAAAAAAGAAATGTGAATTAGGCACGTTTCCATCTACTGGTTTATAGTGAATCAACCAGGCTGTGCAAAGTGTATGTTTGTCTGACACTGACGATACATATGGCTGTAATAAACCGGAAAAGGACGTTGCAAACAAGCAATGACCACATATCTCCACAAGAGACATTTTCTGAAATGTGTTGCTATCAGGCAAGTTGTAATTGTTCTGTCAGATCAGCTAGTACTGGCCATGTAACATYCTGTTCAGAGACTTAGAAATATAAAAGAAATTCATGTGAATATGCCAACAGTGGAAACAACTGATCAGTCATTGTTTGCTCAGAACTTATTTGATAAATACGTTTCCATCTCCCCCTTTTCACGTTGACTCTGTTTTGGAAAATTCAAAAACCACCTCAAGCGAGCCTAAAAACTTTTAATTTTTTTTGCCAATCTCATTTTAATGTGACTCTTCAAAATGTGCATAAAAATGTTGTTGGAAACATGGATAGTTGTACCTAAAAAAAGGGAAGTTTTGATAATAAAAAAAGGCTAATTTAACGTGAGCGGTACAATATGTTGATGTGGACACCATCTAAGCCAAGTCAGCATCAATGCTGAGAAGGCATAACTCTAAACCYCAGTAGTTTCCTGTGCTGCTGCTCTACCGCTCCTCTTCTTCCTTTTTCCTGCACTCCTCCAGGACTTCTTCCAATTAGCAGGTCCCCAGTCAAATAGTCAGGAATAACTCAGAGACAGAAAGACAACCACAACAGTGCTGCTGCAGCAGTAGCTCCAACACAAAACTATCAATACAGCAGGAGAAAACTTAATATTTCTGCTTTTTGCCTGAATCTACACTATGGCAAAATAATATGCAATGTGCTGCCAGTGACAACTTGAAACATCCTCATTTCGCAGTCAGACTTCAGCACTTTTGGATTTTTCACTTTTGTTTGGGGTCTTTTGTTTTAAAAAGAGCCAAAAGTTCAATKTAACTACGCATGTTTTTGCTTGTTGTACCGTCAAGGGGTGTACCTCAAATAGCTTAAGAGCAGTATAACCCACCTACAAAACAAACACCAATGAGTCAGACAGGAGTTAATTATCTTTTTTAATTTCATCAAAAACAACTTGCTAAAATTAACTTTTATGGCTGTCTATGTAACAGTACCAAGTTGTGCTTTGAAAAAACTTTTGAACACAAAAAGCCGTATTAGACTGAATTGCAAAATAAGGGACACAATAAAGAGTAACAAAATATTTATAATCACACAAACATATTGTACAAAATTGTTGTATTGGATTGTATTTTTAAGACGCATGCAGTTTGTGTCTTTCATAACTTTTATGTTTGTCTCATTAAAGTTTTCACAGTTAAATAAGCTATTTAGAAACATTTAATATGTATTTTATAAAAAAACAACAGAAAACAGCAGAAATACAGCAATTTGCGCAAAAACATTTATGAATTATTTTGTCTGCTTTGGTTAAGTGGCGCCAGTTGTTTCTCTGAAAGTACTTTTTTTGTTTAACCAAATGCATTTAATTAGCAATAAACAGACAAACACAASTGTGCCAAATGAAGAAATGTTTCACTTGAGGGCAGGTTGTGAACCTAAAAAAAACAATGCCACCCAATACAAAGCCATATTAGCATGAAGTGGATAAGGAAGAAGAAACTGATAGTAGRTCTGTTTAAAGCCAAAACTGGAATCATGTTTTAAATATGCTTCAAAATATTTATCAGTTTTATTGAAAAAAATCTTATAGCACTTAATTAGTCCTTGTTAATGTCGAATACATGCCACATTCCAAGGTACATTTTAAAATCCACAACTAAAACGCTTTCAAGTTGAGCAGAACAAAACATTAAATTGCAGTATGAAAAGGAAAACCAATACAAGCTCTAATAAAAAGAAATGGAAAATAATAAAACACAGAATAAAACATAAGCTCCTCTCATATTCGACCTCAGTAGAATGCCAACAAAAAGAGAGGAGTCTTGAGCAGAGCTGTGCAGTATGTGTACAAAGGGGCATACTGATGCACAAGGTTTGGCAGCCTTTGCAAAAACCAGACCACATCCATGCATCAATCTGGATTTTATAACATCTAAGTAAATCTTGCTGGTAGACCAGATAGCTCTGTCTGATGTTAGAATGTTTAATTAATAATTTAAATAAGATCGAACCAGACCATTTAAAACCTTGAAAGTCTTAACTGTCCTTATAGCTGCATCTATATCGGGTATTATCTTTAACCTAGCAGCTTTAACATCTACTAATAWATGCACTGTCCCTCCTTTGGACATGTCCAAACCATCTCAGTCTCTCACTTTATGGGTGAATTCAGACCAGGAATGTCCTTTGGTCCACTTGTTTGGTCCGGACCAAAATTGGACTTTATTTTTTTTCATTTGGTGCAGTTTGCATTCACATTGTGCTTTTTTGCAAACAAACTATAAAGGGCTCGACACACGGGGAGCGACAAACTACAGCGATTAATGGCTGTCATCGCAGCCAGGGTGAAACCCGACACACGGGACGCGATAGCGATCGCAGCGTTGCGAATCGCGCTCTTTCAGGTCGCTTGTCTTCACGAAATTTGATTGGTTCTTGACACTGAAGGCGGGTGTGCATTACGGACGTGTAAACTAAACAATTTGTGCGATGCTAATGATACTGAAAAACAAACACACAACAAGATACAGTTTTATGAGGAAAAACTTACCATAAACTTCACCCTGGTGCCAACAAATTCCCACAAAGCTGCCTTTTTTAGTAATCTCTTGGTGAACGTGTTAGCTAACTGCAGTGTGTAGCATACTCTCCTCTCATTGGTCAGTCAATGAAACCCTCGCTGATTGGTTGTAAGCTAAGCAACAGCGACAAAAGTTGAACACTTTTCAACTTTCATATGTCGCGTCGCAAGCTCGCGTGTGCACGTCTACGTGTACGAGCATGAAATTTCACATGCACTATTTTTGCCGGTCGCTTAGCTGGAGGAGGGCAAGCGATTGTCGCTTCACCGCACAGGCTCCWTAGGAAATGAATGGAGAGCGAGRGACGTCGCCTCCCGTGTGTCGAGCCCTTAACTTGTAAACAAAGCCACGAGGCTGACGATCACTGCTCTCACTGGACAAAAAAGGACGGGGGCGGGACTGAGCGCACAGACCCAGAAGAAAACAAAGTCGTCATGCGTGCTGCGGTTCTGACGCACACGTTTTTGTTTAAAGTACAACTGCAAAAGCATTTAAAATGTCAAAACCAGCTAATTTAATGGTGGTTTCGTGATGAAATTTTAATTTTGGAGCGACGTCAGTAAATGTGTCCCGCAACCCGAAGGAGATGAGATGATCTGCGTGTTCTGATCCACTATATGCTGGCAGCAGAGCTGCTAACAGGAGACGACGTAACAGGTATGATTTCAGTTTATTTAGCTCAGCAATGGTGGTCTGTGAAGTCCAAAAAGGTGCATGTTTAATGCAGATTGTTCAGTTAGAGTCCGGTCTGTATTCACACCAGAAGTGAACTGAAGTGAACCGCACCAGAGTTTGTTCGGAAGCAAACTGAGACCACCTCAAAAAGCGAGTCTTGGTCCGGTTGTTTGATCCGCACCAGAGTTCGCATGAGTGTATTCACACCTGCACAAAAAGTCCGGACCAACGATGGAAACGAACTCTGGTCCGTTTAAAGTGGAGCAAATTGTCATGTCTGAATGCACATCTCAGTTGTTCAACCTGCTCTGTATCTCTGAGGATCTCATTCCTAAACTTATCCATCCTTGTCACTCCCAAAGAGAACCTCAACATCTTCAGCTCTGCTGTTTTCAATTCTGTCTTGTTTTCTTCATCAATGCCACCGTCTCCAAACATACCACATAGCTGGTCTCACCACTCTCTTGTACACTTTTCTGCTGACTTTCGTTGCCGCATTTTTGGCACAACACATAAAACTTTAAATAGTAGCCAAAACATTTTTAAAATTGACTCAGAAAACTGGTGAAGACGTTTCAAGTCTGGAGTCATGTTTATGCTTAAAAAGATGAGCCGTGTTCTGAGCGATGATTCCCAGCCTGGGAGGCCTGGCCCCTAAGGGGTACACCAAGGATCTCAAAGGACTTAAGGTTGCAAGTTAATATCATCCAATGCCAACTTTTTTGTTACACAGTGTTGCTTTTTACAAATGACTTGAGTCTCTGCCATCAAATAAATTACAATAATATAAAATTAATACATAAAACATCTTTGTGCAAACAAGAAATTTTCAATTAAAACCACATTTCCTGCTGACACAACTGATCCATACAATGAGAAGAAGGTGCAACATTCCAAGTCAAACATATTATGCAAACTGGTGCACGACTGAAAGCTGCTACAAACATCCTGAAAAGGCAATACTACTAAAACTTGGATACCTTTTTCCTGATCTTTGACAGGGAGATAAAGGTTGTAAACAACTTTAGATTGGAAAAAGTCTGATTTCACAACTGCAGAGATTTGCTTGTCCATCCTAAAAACAAACAAAAATAAATCACATTTAGAGTTTTGTTACAGCAGCTGTGAAGAGCCATGGAGGAGGAAAAAAAAAGTTTTGAGGCTGATTTGAATTTTCTTCTAAAAATCCAAATGAATTATAGCGTAATGTCCAACAATTACTCAATGTTGGTAACATTTCAGAAACCTCAAAGCTTGTACGATTATAATTTTATTACGACACTGTTGTAGAACTGTTAATATTTTGAGGCTACT